ACCCAGTAAGGCAGCCCAGATTGCAAAGGAGATGAGAAGGTATAACATCGAAGTGCTTGGGATTTGCGAAAGCAGATGGAATGGGAGTGGACTCTCCAAACTGTCAACTGGAGAATCAATAATCTACTCCGGTCACCCAGACGCCAACCACGAGCACACTGAGTGAGTGGCTATCATGATGTCCTCAAGAGCATCGAAGGCTCTCATGCAGTGGGAACCAATCTCCTCCAGGATCATGACAGCAAGATTCAACTCAAAAGGAAGAAAGGTCACAATCATACAATGTTATGCACCTACAAATAATGCAGAGCAAGAGAAAAAGGAGGAATTCTACAGACAACTTCAATCAACACTGGACAAGACGTCAGTTGGCGATATCAAAATTCTAATGGGCGACATGAATGCCAAACTGGGAGGGGACAACACGGGAAGAGAACTAACCATGGGTCGAGAGGCGCTAGGTGAAATGAATGAGAATGGAGAATTGTTTGCAGAATTCTGTGCATTCAACGATTTGGTGATTGGAGGCAGTGTGTTCAGGCACAAGGATATCCACAAAGCGACATGGACTTCACCAGATGGACACACTAAAAATCAAATCGACTTTATCTCAATCTCAAGAAAATGGAGACGCAGTCTACTTAACACAAGGTCAAGAAGAGGAGCAGATGTAGGTTCAGACCACTATCTAGTGCAAGGAACCTTCCAAATCAAGTTAAAAGCCTTCAAGGAAGCTGGTGATAGACCTCAATTCAAGTACAACACTCGGAAACTGAAGGATGAAACTACAAAGGAGATCTTCAAAGCAGCCATCAAGACAAAATGGGAGACATCGAGGGACATCCCTGAAGAAACCTGTGTGGAAGAACACTGGAAGTCTTTGAAAGCTATGTGGAAAGAAACCTGCACAACAGTATTAGGAAGGAAGAAGAAAGAAGACAAGGAATGGATCTCGACGGATACCTGGAAGCTGATAGAGGAGAGGAGGATGGTGAAGCAGAAGATAAACCAGTGCAAGGATGCTCAACGACAAGAGGAACTGAGCACAATGTATAAAACACTGGACAAAGAAGTGAAGAAGAGTGCACGCAAAGACAAAAGACACTTCTACGAAACACTGGCAAGTGAAGCAGAACAGGCTGCAGGTAAGAGAGACCTGACGACATTGTATCAAATAACCAGGTTGCTATCAGGGAAGAGACCAACACAGATGAAACCAATAAAAGATGAAGAAGGAAATTTAATTACAAAAGAAGAGAAACAGAGGAAACGATGGGCCGACCACTTCAAGAAGCTCTTGAATCGACCACCACCACACTGCACTTCGTCCAGAAATACCACCTGCAGCCGCTGAATTACAAGTGAACATAAATCCCCCAACGAAAATGGAAGTCCTGAACGCCATAAAGCTACTGAAATGCGGGAAAGCAGCAGGACCAGATGGAATACCGCCAGAAGCACTGAGAACAGATGCAGAGACAACAGCGGACATGCTCACACCACTATTGCAGAAGGTGTGGAAGGAAGAGAAGGTACCGGACGATTGGAAGAAGGGTTACCTTGTCAAACTGCCGAAGAAGGGAGACCTCAGTGCTTGCAAGAACTGGCGCGGAATCACTCTCCTGTCCACCCCAAGTAAAATATTAAGCCGCATCATCCTGGAGAGGCTTAAAGACGCACTGGATTCAAAACTGCGACCGGAACAGGCAGGCTTCAGGAAGTACAAATCATGTGCTGACCAAATTGCAACGCTTCGTATCATCATAGAACAGAGCGTAGAATGGCAATCAGCTCTCTACCTCAACTTCATCGACTTTGAGAAGGCCTTTGACAGCGTCGACCGAGAAGTAATTTGGAAACTGCTTCAATACTACGGAGTACCGCAAACCTTTATCCGCCTCATTCAACAACTATATGAAGATGCCACATGCCAAGTAATCCACAATGGGAAGCTCAGTGATGCCTTTGAAGTGAAGACAGGAGTGAAACAAGGTTGCCTACTATCCCCCATGATATTCCTGATTGTGGTACTGGACTGGATCATGCAGCAAACAGTAGGCAGCGAGAAGAGGGGGATACACTGGACTGTGGAAAAGAACCTAGAAGACTTGGATTTCGCCGATGACTTATGCCTAATGTCACATAAACTTGAAGATCTGCAGGCAAAAACTAACAAGTTGACAGAAGAGGCAGCGAAGACGGGACTTCAGGTGAATATAGAGAAGACAGAAGTGATGAAGATACCGCACCACCACCATCAACAACAACAACAAACTCCAATCACCGTCAACGGGAGAAACTTGAAGGAAGTAACCTCCTTCACTTATCTAGGAAGCACTGTTTCAACTACAGGCGGGACGGACGAGGACGTCAAAGTCAGAATCGGAAAAGCAAGACAGGCGTTCATTAGCCTGAAACCAGTGTGGAGATCTTCTGCACTCAGCATCTGGAACAAGATACGGATTTTCAACACCAACGTCAAGTCAGTGCTCTTGTATGGCTCAGAGACTTGGCGCGTCACGAAAGGCATTTCCAATAAACTACAGACATTCATCAACAACTGCTTACGCTCGCTGCTGAAGATCAGATGGCCAGAAAGAATAAGCAACAAGGAACTCTGGGAACGAACCAACCAAGAACCTATCACGCAACAAATATGCAGGAAGAAGTGGAGATGGATTGGCCATGCACTGAGAAGGCCGACTGAGGACATCACGCGTCAGGCCCTCGAGTGGAATCCCCATGGGAAGCGACGAGTTGGACGTCCGAGGGTGACATGGAGGAGGTCATGCGAGGAGGAAATGAGAGCTTGTGGGCTGTCGTGGAACCAGGTTCAAAAGATCTCAGAGAACAGAGGTCACTGGAGGCGTGCTACTGAAGCCCTATGTTCCACTAGGAACCCAAGGGACTAATAATAATAATAATAATAATAATAATAATAATAATAATAATAATAATAATAACAATAATAATAATACTATCAAGCTAAGTATTGTGGCATGGTACAATCTTCAGGGAAAATCGTTTGAGTCAAAATAGCTCGCTGGGTTATTGCGATATACAACCACGGCAACCATATTAAGGTAACGGCTGTTGGTGGAAGATGAGTCTATAGTGACTCCTTGGACAGAAGTCTGAAACTGCACAGAACACCCTTCACTACATATCAGTTATTGACGGTCTGGATGGAACGTAGATGTCAATCTACTAATCCTTACCAAAGTTGGAGCTATTTCAAACCAAAAACAGACTAAACCAGTCTGGCCCAATGTTTGGCCCGAAAAGTGCTTGAAGATAGTGATGTAGAACTAATAGTTAAAATAAGTGAGGTTCCCTAACTAAAACAATATAATTACAACTTTGTCAAACAAGTCAAGGTCGTCGTTTATATGTTTACAGGAAAGCAGTTAAATTATCCATCTGTTATAAGTTTGAATATGATGCTTAAGATCATGAGGCCTACAGTCATTCGACGCTAGCTAAAGCTGGAGCAGTGGTTCAGGAGCTTAACGAGACGACCGTCAACCAGTGGGTCACAGGTTCGAACCTAGCCCCACTTATTGGGGTTTGGGCAGACAGCTAGTATCACTAGCTCTTACAATTAGTGTGGCTCATTGTCTACTAGAGGAATGTGCAGTGTGGCTAAGCGCGCTTCGTTGTTTTTTCGTTTGTTTTGCTAACAGCCTGAAGACAACCAACTCGAGAAAAAGAGGAAGGTTTCAGGCTGAGGACAGGGGTTCGTCTGACAGACTTTCATCCTTTTACCGATATTAGAATATAGGCGCACTTAATAGGACCCAAAACTTGCCCTGTTGCTTGATGTGAAGGCACCACTCGACCCTGTCAATCGAAAAGTGCTGCGATACTGTCTAACTGAAGTACTGAGTAAGTTTACTATGCTAATTAAAAACTTAACCTGCACATTGGTAAAAGAGCTTACGGAGAGTCCCAACCAGGTGAAGACAGATAATGTTGTTCACCACGTATATTCAATCACAATCGTTCTTTAACATAGATGTACTGGTAAGTGTGACCTTGTTTACCTCATTGGGTATCGACCTACTGTTTTAGGGTATTTGGTGGAATTATAGTGCGCAGACTATGAGAATGTCAGCCCACCGTCATCCTCATCTTCAGCTGCAAAAGCATTTATGTTCGATTAAATTTTCTTTACACTTTTGGGGCTAATCATATGAGCCCGTTTGAGACTCATTCCTAAATACTATATGGTAGATTTTAAAAAAGGTATTTTACTTGCAAACCAGACGATTCTACAAGCCTTAAATGAGAACATGGCACACGTATTTCTGTAACGATGCTCACTTGCTCACTGGCTGCAATTCGGATGGTGTCAAAGACAATTTTTGTCAGATAAATACGTTCATTCATCCCAAAAAAGTCAGACAGGCAGATATAACCCTGTTGACTATCGGTTAATTTACAATTTGGAAGATCGAGTTATACAAGATGTACGTTACCGACAGTTGATTTATCCTCGAAACTGAGAAACTTTTGCAGAAAAACATCATTTGATAGTCATCCTTGGATTCCAAAGGTAACAACATATTTCTGTTCAGCTTTTATTGCCTTATTTGCTAATTAACTTCTGTATTATGAATGCAATTGTACAATTAGTAATTAGACACAACTTGACAAGGTTTATTTTATATGTAAGAACTATGAATAATGACTAGCCATACAATAGCAGAATATCAGACTAGTAGATTCATGCGGTTAAGCAGAAAAAAATAGTAGCAGGTTCACAATTTTAAACTGTCATGTTTAACTACATTTTGCAGAAGGGACTCATTTTATTCCCAATATCCCATTATTTTCACCAGCAATACCCAGAAACTATCCAAATAAGTTGCGAAGACAAATGTCCACAATCACATTCAACATAGCGAAATAGTAAGCGAGTATGATCAAATTTATCTACTTCACATATTACAAACCGAAATTTATGAACGTTAAACAAAACGTGTTCATTATTAACTCACTGAAGTTCCAGCTGTTGTGGATTCAACTGCGCTTCTTAGATACTTAAGAGCTCTTTTCATATTAAATAAGTCTAAAATAAAATGAAAATTAATTGAACTGTTACCTGCCCTGGTTCGTCTCTCCATATCCTTCATCAGCTTTCGACGGAGCTCAAATACATCATGACCACCATGCTTTGAATAGGCCCTGAATGAAATATGTAAAAGGTGATTATGTGCTACATTTGTTCCACATCCGATCGTAAGAAGACAAGTGTCTTCGTTTCATTACCATAAGGGCTCCGGCTATAGTAACGTGGAAGTTGGTCTAGGTCTCTTAAAACATGAGAAACGAAAAAACCTTACTGTTTTGTCAGCATATATTCCCGCAAAGCTCTGAGTGGCGTGATATATTTAATAGATTTCACAGAGTCATCGTAAGAGAAGCTCGTCTTTATTTTCGGTACCACTGAATATAAATCACAAAAACTGGTTACTTACCTTTAGTGTTGACTTTATCTACAGTAGGGTCATTGGGGCTTTTAGATGTGGAACTCCCATAGTATCTGCTTAGTGAAATATATGTATTGTGCGCTAGAAGTGGCTTGTTAACTATTGCTGACGTAATTAATGAACTTTTATTGTTCGCAAATAAGCAACTAAGATGGTTCACAGTTGACTTTAAAATAAGACAACTAGACCTAAGATATGCATTCCGCATAACTTTATAGGAAGCGCGAATGCATTCACAAAATCAGATGGCCTTATTGAGCGCGATAGGGCAGAGGTATACGACCTTGGTAATTTATTCAAATCATTTTGCATCGCGAATGTGTAGGCCATTGTCTGCAGTCTTCTATAATAATGATATCTCTTCCAGTCATCTGTAATTGTTCTTTCCGTATATACATTGGAGGGTAATCCATTTCTCTTTGAATTTATTCAAATTGTTCAAACAGTTGTTCACGGAATACAAGAAGTTTTCGCTTAACTTGTTTCCGCGTCTACAACCCGTGGATCACTACTCCTTGTGGTTTTTAATCTGTGGACAATTAAAGAAAGAGGAAAAAGCCGCGGTTAAAATGAGAAAATTCAATTAGTTCTGGGCAGATCTCAGACACAAGTCAGGTGGGTATCCAGTCCCTGAAGGACCTGGTATAATTGGTTCGTTATTAGTCCAGAAAGTTGATCAGCATTTATGGGTAGCGCAGATTGTAGAACTTACTTTACAGCACATCGTCAGTTCCATAACTAAGTACCCAGTCGTCAGTGTTCTGGAAAAATATTTAATACTGCAAGTTGTTTTGTGGGTGTGACATATCAGAAGCCAGTATCAGGTTGTCATTATGGCAATCATTTGTTTTCTAGGGGAATTCAGTCTTTCACAGTCAATTTTGCAGGCCAAACATAGAATGGAAGCAGTCACTCCACTGAAGCTGGATTCTTGAATCATGCTGAAGAACTTGAGCTAGCCGAAAATTTGTGGTCAGCTAATCGATGAAGAAATGTTCAAGCTCCCTCTCATCCATACTCCAGTTTCGTGAACTATGAATTCTTGATGGATTTTCTCGCAATACTCGTTCATTGAGCAAGAGCGGTTATGCTGTTAGCGGGTTTCAGTATCTCTGCAATATAGGACTTATTGGTACCGTAAACAAACATCATGAGAATTTCAAGTGATTTGAAAATTTAGTCCTTTAGAGGGCTCTCGAGGACACATACTGGGAAACTGGTCATGAAAGGCGGGGTATAGTCAATGAAAGTTCATACGTGACGGAATCATATAAGCCGTAAGTCATCCTGTCTCACCTTCGGTTTCATATTATCTTAACTCAAGGTGCTGCATAGGTACGCTTCCAAGCTTCTGAAGTTGAAAAGACACCTCGAATCAACATAAAAGAGGCCACACTAACCAGCTTGGTTAAGCACAAAAAGCTTTTAGCACAAGGCAGCACCATTCTGCCAACCAAAGGCAGAAGAGTTCCACCGGAATCCCAGTGAGACTGTTGGCAGTGATGCTAAATTTCTACCGTTGATCTGAGTGTCGACCGGGTGTATAGTAAGGCTGGGAATCTTGAGAGCGGTCACGTCTTTAGGCCTGGATAAAATTCACTCTGTTGCCATTTGCGAAGGCGCCTCGTTTCTAACTGAACCCATCAGCAGATCATTCATGCACTTCCTTAATCACAGCATAATGTCGGAGGCCTGGATCTTAGGTCGTATCAACGAAGCAACCCAAAGAAATATACGCCTATGACTCTTGTTCACGCCATCGGAAGCCATGGGGTCATTTGTTTGTAACAGTTCACTTGACTATCTTATATCCACCAGCACCTTTCTACCCCACCAGCACGGCTTTAGAAAAGGAGATTTATGCATCTCTACCCCATTAACCGTAGTGGATAGTTGGACCAGAGTCACAGATAGTCGGTGTAGAATAAATTTCGGATACGTCCACCATTCCGAGGCTTCTGATCGTATCTGCCACAACCTTCGCATCCGCAAGTTGGCTATCTTAATATTTAAGTGGCGGCCTCTTTAGGGCTCTAGTAATCCTGCGGTGCTCGGAGAAACGAGACGTTCTGTCGGATTCCCCCAGGTCTCGGCTTCAAGGACTATTCTGTTTTTCATTTACAGAAATGGCTTGCCTTGGTAGGTACCTTCAGAAATTCTACTTTTTATTGATGGGTTTCGGCAATGGGGGATATGAGCGATCGAAGCGGCAGACTCGCTTAGTATGACGATTTATCCCGACTTAAACGTTTGGCAGATAACAGTGGACCAGCCTCCAATTCTGAAAAGTGGAAGGTGATATATATGTATATATATATATATATATATATATATATATATATATATGGCAATATGCAGCACAGAGTTGAGGGCATGTTCATTATAAAATGACGTTTGGGCCTTGATCCTTCGCGACCTTAAATCTTCCGCTGGCCGTGACGAAATTGAATTCCTAGCAAATCTGGAGCTTATAACCATACAGCGAGTTTCCGTGCCGTTTTTTAGTGGTCGTTCCCACCACCGGCGCATGCCGTCCGAAAGGATGTTTAATCTTACCAGTGCTTAACATATTAGCTTTTGACATACAACAATTCAGTAAACAACAACAGTAAGAGCATTGTTTTTTAGCCCTGAGTCCTATATTTCTGCCAATTTTTATATGTATTTCTGCCTTTACTAGGATATTTAGGCTTCACCTCGATTCCAAGTTTCGTTGAATTGATTAACGTCAGGGCTCTAGCCTTTTTCAAGTTCTCCAGAAATGGCCATCGGACGACAGGGTGGTGCGAGGCAAAGCTGCTGCCAGCTTGTTAAGGAGGGTAGAAAGTGTGATACCTGCGACGGATGGTTTAGTGACGCTTGCGCGGACTTGACGCAGAGAGAGTGCTCTAAACCCCGTAAACCTTGTCGCAAGCGGTATTATCTCTTGTGGGTATCTGAGCAGGATGACGATGACGTCATCAACACATTAAAGGATACGACAAGGGCTGATGAACCCGAAAATGGGGACGGGAAGCTGGACAACTCGAATGCAGTGCCTTGATACAAGGGCTTAGGGGTTCGGAGTTCGACTGCTGGTAAAAAGTTTGAGTTGTCTGACAAGAGCAGGGAACCTTTTTGAAAGGGGATATGATGCACCCTAGTAGTGCGATGCACCAACTGCCTTGCAGTCCCTCGGTAGGATCTCGTCGTCAACGGGAAAGATACAAAACAAAACGGCTATTCTGAGCGAGGATGATCAAGATGTAAAATGGACATCCTTGGTGGGAAATGAAAACAGTCGGTTTTCAACTCCAGTCAAGCCCATCGTTTCCAGGAAGGTGGGATGTGTCCATAACAAGCTTGAGCAGGGTGATATGGAAGTGAGTCAGGCCAAAACCAAATCTGCGTGGGGGTCAGGAGTCCAACAGACTACGCGGGTCGTTCACAAGCCTATCAGATAACCCAACAAGTTGCCCCTAAACGTAGCTGGAATAGAAGAAAACTCGAATGTTCAACAAAAATGCCGTAACGTCCACGGTTTGCAGGACAAATGACTGTCAGGACTGATTCTTAGGCTGACAGATAGCTCTGATCTCTTATACAGCCTTCAGCATAAAAATAAAGGGGTTCTGTGAAAAAACACATGCGGCACACTTAAGCCGCTCAGTATCAGACCAATAGCTGCAACTAGGCCCTCACACGGTCACGATCCGACGATTAAGGATAGGCATCAACCCTTTAGGTCAGCGTTCTCCAGCTCAGATAACTTTGGGGTTGTGTAGTCAGCATCTCACATGCTGAGAGCTGATCGTTCTTCTAGACTAGTCAATGAACGCTTTGATATTGGGCTACCCAGGCGACTTGTTGAACCGAATATATCTGATGACTTTAAGATGGCTAAACGTGAACTTGAGTGTTTAGGAAAATGATTTGCAAAGGGTAGCAATCTACTGAAGAGGGATGGGAAGAAAACTATGGTCTGGTTGGGGGTACCTCTGGTATTTGCATCCATCGCCGTTGCAACTAGCGTAGACAACATGTCCTTACAAGCCAAAATTCCAGGACACGACAGGCCAGCACTTCTCTCGTGGTGGAAGAATAATAATATAGACTTGGAGGCTACTGAATATCAGTCAACTATCCATCTATCTGATGCTGTCTCACAGCCTTTCTGTTCGAACTGTGTGCTCCTAGAGGCCACAGATACCTCTGGTTGTGGAGAGCATGGTGCAACTAAGGACGCTGTCAATACAAGTTTCTATGTAGAAGATTATTTGGATTCTACCAATGTAACCACTGGTGCCGTTCGTTTAGTTTAGTGCTTGCGACGTATTACCGGCGTGGGACGTTTTTTACTGAACAGATGAGCCGGCTGTTTACGGATTGTGGAGTAAATACTCCTGAGTGAACGAAGATCGGCGGTACAAGGAATCGATGTAGAGAAACTACTCATAGAACGCAATTTAGGTTTATCCTGTGATGCCAGAAATGACACATTTGTCTGTGAGGTTAACATGCCAACATGACTACAAGTAGGCGGGGTATTTTGTCAGCTGCAAAATCCTTGTGAGATCCACCAGGATTCTTGACGCCAGTCTGCCAGGCGAAAAAGTTACTACAGCATCTATGTAAAGCGGGCCTTACCCTGGGTTACGAAGTATCCCTGTAGTAACAGTGTCGTACGGGACAAGCTGAAGCATGGAGGAAACTGTTTATTTCTGTGTAAACCCTTTGGTCTCGAAGGCTTCAGAAAGCGCACTGATTGGAAGGGAATCTTCGATGCTTTGTAATCTGGAAGTACGTCGTGTTTTTACTCGGGAAAACAAGATTTGCAATAGGTCGCATTGTGTAGTTTGCACATTAAATATCAGCTTGTCAGATGACATCTTCCAAAGTTTGTTTTCATTGCAAATTCACTATATAGCCTGCCGTCACCATTTTCGTAATATTTTTCACATGAGTCAGGTCATATGGCTTATAGGAATTTCATAGAACTGTGGGATACGGTGGAGTGAATAAACAATACCCCAATTCATCGAGATGAAAGAAATTAAAAGAAAGTCCCAGAATAATGATTGCAGACGCAGTGAGATATTAGACAGTTGTGAACGTACGCTGCTATCCAATAAGAAGTGACCAAGTTGGTGGTTAGCACAGGTGTTGATTTCCCCCTTATAATATGGCCACAACCTTCCATTCTCACAGATTACCGCTGAAGAGATTATG